ATCAAAAAATGAAAACTGTGAAGTCCAAATGGTCATTCCATAGATAAGAATAGCTTGTTTTCCCAAAGCTCCTTATGATTATTGGTCCATTCAGATAAATCCTTCATGGACTCAAGGTTACATCTTCCCAGTTCTTCAACTAAAATGGTTAATTTTATGAGAAAAACCAGATCTGAGATACAATCAAAATCAAATACAGTACTTCTAAAATAGATCTCTTCTCCTAGTTCTCTATCCTCCATCAAAACAAGTTGTTTCCTGCTTCCTCATGACGCTTAAGACAATCATCACAAACTCGTTTTGTAAAAGATGATTCCCAAATTCTATTAATATTTGGTGGGAAAGGATTAGGTTACCAGGGAATACCTTTTCCATTAGTTGTTTGACATTGCAACGGAGATTTGAGTTCTTGGATCACCTTTCACGTTTATGTAGCAGGTAATCCTTAGCTTTTACCACCAGCAGCTAATCCACCACATATCATTTAGATATCTCACTGAAAGTTCAATTCGAGTAGAAGATCATACGAAATGGATGCTCAAACTTGGTGTGCAGAGCAGGAATCATTTCAATTGAACTCAAAATGCATAATTGCATATATAACATGCCCATGGATGATATAATATTTAATGAGGTGCAGCATCAAATTGAATGAATGATATTGTACTACAAATATGGTAAATGCCGTTGATGCACTATGTGGTTTCAAAACTTTCCATGAAGGCTAACTGCTAACAGTATCAGCCGAATTTAGCAATCTGAATAATCTGATTCATACTCTGAGAGCAGATTACAATCTGAATCATCTGATTCTCCATTTTTGAACCCATTGTCATTGAGGGCATTACTACAAACATACTTAATCAATCCTCCTCAACAACAGAATCTCTGTTTCTCTTGCATAAGCCCCTGCTCCTATCCAGAACCCTTCCTTCATCATAATTGCAAACTTTTCCCTGTTGTCAACAAGGGGGTATTTCTGGTTTAGTTGATGACAGTTTGGTTGTAACGCTTCTTAGAAATGTAGAATATGCCAGGATGGCATTCAAACACCTTTGTGAACGTCTGTGGCAAAGCCAGCCAGGATAGGAGTTTCAAGCCAACATGATCAGGTAGATGAACCAAAGAAAAACAATCTGAGTGATGGGGAATCAAGGAATGAGGGTAATCAAATGGCAAACCAATGACCCAATTTAGCTGGTTAATTGTTTGTACAGGAAGAGTCCCATCTTTGGTGAGCACGAGCAGCTTGCGAAGATCCATCTCACAATCAAGAACATGAAATTCATCGATTAGGAGTCAAGTGGAACCAAATACCGAGTTCTTCTTAATGGGGATCTAGTGCTTTAGGAGTCAAGTGGAACCGGGGAACACTAGTGCCTCCACTGTCAAGAACATGAAATTCATCAAAATTTGTGGGATATCTCCTCATAAAGGTGGAAACCTTAAGATCTTTGGTGGGAGAGGTGGTAAACTGGGAGACAACAACGAGGATTTGAGGATATTATGGAAACAAGGATGCTGGCAGTTCTTAGATCCCTATCACCTGCCAGAATGGCATCCAATTCCCTATCTTGCACCCCATTTTAACATTAGATTAAATCTAGAAGAGCAAGAGCTGAATGGCTTTCTGCTGGCAATTGAATCCCATATCACATCAATAGAGAAAATGAGAGCATCCTGCCCTACTCCACAACCACCAAACCATTTTACATGATGATCAACATACCCCTGTTAGATGACAAAAATTGGTTTGGAACTGAGATACCACTTCAATGTACTCTAATATTTAAAGTTAGGAAAGTCAAGATTGCAATGGATATAGCAGGAGAACATTAAGCATGCAGATTATGTTAGGATCCACTTATAAATTATATTCAAATGATCAACCTACAACTTTGCAAAGATTTCCAACTGTATTTAAGGATAAAACAGATCGCATCTATTTTTCTAGAATTTCTTTTCCACTTTATACTAAGTTCCACGGTGCTTGGCTGTGTATCAACCGAACAACAAGTACTCACTGAAGTATGTATGAAATGTGTATATACAACAAACCTTCCACATTGGTCTACAACAGTGCAATAAATTCGTCTTTTTCTGTTTATGATGGATTTTACGTCTTCATCATGCAATAAACTTCCTCTACATGAAAATTAAAAATATTGCTCTGGACCATAGTGCACAAGTAAAAACTCACAAGAGGGCATAGTAATCAAAATTGCAATCTAGATCACACAATCTTGCAATCCAAAGTATGCTACTATTGATCATTCCAACAGTGCTGCACAATGGGATTACCTAAGAGCAGAGCATAGTGTTTGGGGAGACAGCTACTAATTTCTGTAATTTAATTCACTTGTAAATAACAAGAGTGGCGGTTTCAACATCAAATGCTAATAATTATGTTGCTACTGTTGGATCCGATCACTGCTATGCTCTGGTGTTAGATGCTTCCCCTATCAACAAGAAGCCTAGCAAAATGCGAAGTCATTATTGTCATGGAAGCTTGGGATAACAAATTTCATGATTCTAATCTATTTTAATTCTCCAAAAAATGTCTAAGAGTTGGAAGCATAAATTGATCAAGTGGGCCAGAAATCAGAGTTGGAACTCCAGACAGAAAATATAGGCAATGGAAGTTCAGCTTTTCTCGTTGAAAGAGGATACAACGCACCAATTGTGATGCTACCAAAATGAAACAACTTTAAAATGAGCTTCATAATTAATGGAGTGAAGAAGAAGTTTATTGGAAGCAAAAATCCAAACTTCAGTTGTTGCAGCTCAGAGACAGAAATTCAAAAAAATAAAAAATAAAAATCATGCAACTAGTACTATTAGAAGAAGGAGAATAATCATATGCCACACAAATATTGTTCTTATTCCTAAAAGTAGAATATCCAACTTTAGTTGGCTATTATTGCCTTATTTCTTTGCATAATGTGTCTTATAAGATCATTTCAAATTATCAATAGGCTCCAATCAGTCCTTATCTCTATTATTAGAGAAGATCAAAGTGCCTTTGTTGCTGGAAGGCAAATAACTAATAGTATCTCTAGTTGCCCATGAACTGCTCCATTTTATGAAGAACAAAAGATTGAGTAAACAAGCTTTTATGGCCCTTAAACTTGATATTAGAAACTAGGTTTCCCACTGTATGTGTCCGTATGACTTGAGGTCCAAGGAGTTTAGAGTTTTAGAATCCTCTTTTCCAGGTAGAGCCTTGAATTTGAAGTGTTTAGACAAGACTAGATTTATGTAAAAGAATGTTTTACCATGAAAGTTGAAACAAAGGAAATATTTACAATCTGTGTTCAGTTAATTTGTGACAATTAATCATCTTAAAAAGCAAAACTACAAAAAGACCAAGGTGCCTTTTAATGTAGGTCTGATCGATTCATTAACAGCCTCAATATGAAGTATGAACAGTAACAGGACGAACCCATACACAAAGAGGGGTTGAGGGGATCCAGACCTGGTTTACTGGAATGCTGAATCCAACAGAATAAACCCGCTTGTACCTTCACTATAGCAGTCATCCATGATAATGGTCATATGTTTAGCCTTTCCCAATGGTCATACCCTTCCAATCTTGAAAGCCGTTTTCAATTCAACCATGTCCTCTTCCAGAAGCTGCCAATCGGACTTTATCTTCTCAGCCCCACATTACTTTTTCTCAGCCACGAGTTTCTGAATTAGTTCAGCAAACTCTTCTCTCTCCAAATGATCACGTCTCCATGCCAACATTACAGAAGTGTCAAGCTAAGTGTATAAAAGCCAAATAGCCCTGCATAAAGGAGAGAACAAAGTGTTCGTTAGATGTGAAGATCTTTTCTACGTATAAAATACGGAAGAAAAAGGAAAAACTCATAGAGAATGATTGGACCATATGACAGGCAACGTTAGCATCCAACCTCTCCCTTATGGCCTTATTATCCCTTGGCAAAGCCAGCCCCTGTTCAATAGGTGAGACTCACTTGATTGATGGTCTTTAAAGCAGAATCATCCACTGTGATCATGCACTTCGGAAGGATGAACCTTGGTGCCAAGGTTTAGCAGAGACCTGTTATCCAGAAATTGTCACAATCTGGATTTTTTTTTTTTTTTTTGTTTTCTATTTTTTTTCTTCAGTAACTACAATTTTCCTAAATTTGAAGGATATTTGGGAGTAGTCTGGGAGTTTCATAAATATGACAAAAAAATAAAAGTTCAGTTAATTCAATAGAAAAGTCAGAGCAATTTAAAATTTCCAACAGCAATCATGGTATGGGAAATTGTACAAACAGGAGATGAAAATACTTTCAATGCCACAACATCAATTCCAAAATAAAGAAAAATTGAAACTTCCAGCATCAATACTAGATATCTAAACTATATGCTAAAAACTTGTTTTCTTGTTGAAAAGATCACAAAACTTAATCTTTTTCCCCTTGATCTCACCAACAGGAGGAATGCTGAAAAATAATCAAATTCCAGGAAAGGAATAACCTTGCCATGGAAATTGGCCATTATGATGAATCATTTCAATTTGTGCATTTGACATATTAACTAGGTTGAATGCTTCTACAGAAACCAAAAGGACAACAAGAGGGAAAAAAAGATGCACAAACAAGCTTAGGGAAAAAAAAGATGCACAAACACCAACTTGTGCGCGCGCACAATTTCTCTCTTAAGTTTAAATATTCTTTCAACAAAAATAAGAGTTGCTTTATCCAAAAAACCTTGGTGCAGAGCATATTCAAAGTCCATTCACTATGGAGACTGTGCTTGAATATTCTGAATACAATCTAGCACAGCCGCACTCATGTGGGGCCCAAATACTTCTGATACATAATGCCAGAAATGAAAAACTAAATTATTGTAACACATTAAAAAATGAAAACCGTGAAGTCCAAATGGTCATCCCATATATAAGAATCACTATAAATTTAATCCCAGCTTGTTTTCCCAAAGCTCCTTAAGATTATTGGTCCATTTAGATATCCTTCATGGACTCATGGTAACATCTTCCAGTTGATCTATAGATTCAGTTCTTCAACTAAAATGGTTGACTTTATGAGAAAAACCAGATCTGAGATACAATCAAAATCAGATGCAGTACTTCTAAAATAATTCTCTTCTCCTAGTTCTCTCTCCTCCGTCAAAACAAGTTGTTTCCTGCTTCGTCATGATGCTAAAGACAATCATCACAAACTCATCTTGTAAAAGATTACTCCCAAATTCTATTAATATTTGGCAGGATAGGATTAGGTTACCAGGGAATACCTTTTCCATTAGTTGTCTCACGTTGCCGCGGAGATTTGAGCTAACTGCTAAAAGCATCTGCTGAATTTAGCAAGGATCATCTATGGTTTCATCTGATTCATATTCTGAAAGAAAATTACAATCTGAATCATCTGATTCTCCTTCATTTTTGAATCCATTGTCACTGAGTTCATTACTAAAAACATTCCTAAATCGATCCTCCTCAACAACAGCATCTCTGTTTCTCTTGTATAAGCCCCTGCTCCTATCCAGAAACCCTTCCTTCATCATACTTTCAAACTTTTCCCTGTTGTCAACAAGGGGGTGTCTCTGGATTAGTTGATGATGGTCGTAAGCTTCCCTAAGAACAACAGTTTGGGTGTCACACTTCTTAGAAATGTAGAATATGCCAGGATGGCGTTCGAACACCTTCGTGAACTTCTGTGGCAAGGCCAGTGGTTTACGGAGATTGCTCACATTCTTGCGCTCTGTTTTCTTTTGTATGGTGAGGTGGAGAAGCTCATGAAAGACACCAACAATTCTCTTCTCAGTTACATCTGTACGTGGATCTAAGTGAGAGGCATCTGAAAAAGGAGAAGTATAAGGGAGCCTCTGCCACTCTTCTAACCACACCATGCATTTTCTCTTCAATCCGAAACCCCTTGTGAATCCAATTGGAAATGCTAAGCTGCCATTTTCAACATCTTTTTCCCTTTGCTGCAAAGCAGCACTCTTTTCCAATTGAGACACAGCAAGGTTAACATCCCAGGATAGGAGTTTCAAGCCAACACGATTATCAGGTAGGTGAATCAAAGAAAATATATCTGGGTGATGGGGAATCAATGAATGAGGGAAATCAAATGGCAAACCAATGTCCCATTTTAGCTGGTCAATCGTCTGTAGAGGAAGAATTCTATCTTTGGTGAGCATGAGCAGCTTGCGGAGCCTGTCAAGAAGATCCATCTCACAATTTTGGTAGATACCGAGTTCTTCTTGATGGAGATCTAGTGCTTTAGGAGTCAAGCGGAACCAGGGAACTCTAGTACCTCCACTGTCACGAACATGAAACTCATCGAAAATAGTGGGATATCTCCTCATAAAAGTGGAAATCTTAAGATCGTGGGGGAGACTGAGTTGCCCTCTTTGGTGGGAGAGGTGGTAAACTGGGAGGCAACAATGAGGATTCGCAGATATTATGGAAACAAGAGTGCTGGCAGCTCTTAGATCCCTATCACCTGCCACAACAGCATCCAATACCCTATCTTTCACCCATTTTAACCTTACATTCACCAGACTGGCTTTCTGCTGGCGATTAAATCCCATCTCACATCCATAGAGCAAACGAGAGCATCCTGTCCTACTCCACAACCACCGAACCATTTTAGATCGACGATGATCAACATAACCCTGTTACATGACGAAAATTGTTCTGGAAGTAAGATACCACTTCAATGTACTCCAATATTTAAAATTCAGGAATGTCAGATAGCAATGTATACAGCAAGGGAGAATTAAGCAAACAAATTATGATATAAATTGTAATGAAATGATCAACCTACAACTTTTGAAAGATAACCAACTGTACTTTAAAGGATAAAACAAAGCAGATTGCATCTGATGATAAGATCCATTTCTCGAAGCCCTGAAAGACAAAGCTGATGTAGTTTACGTAGTTGCGAAAGAATTTCCTTTTTTAATCGAAGACTTGACGAGTACTTGTTATTCCCCTTCTTCAATTTCTTTTCCACTTAATATTAAGCTCCATGGTGCTTGGCTGTGTATTAACAGAACAACAGTACTCACTGAAGTATTTATAAAATGACAACCTTCCACATTGGTTTACAACAGTCCCATGAATTCATCTTTTTCTGTTATGTTAGATTTAACATCTTTTCACCATGCAATAAATTTTTTTTTTTTTTTTCACCATGCAATAAATTTCCTCTACATGACAATTAAAAATAGTGCTGTGGGTGCATTAGTAAAACTCACAAGAGGGCATGGTAATCAAAATTGCAATCTAGATCATACAATCTTGAAATCCAAAGTAATAAAAAATCCATGTAGATCTCTACAAGATCGTAAAGGGACTAGAGGGTCATAGTCGGATTGCCAAAGGATCGTTCAGAATAATAGGATCTACCATGGGATTGTTTAGGATCGTTTATGTAAATAGAAAATTTGATAATTTGTTTGCTTTGTCATGACACCTGAAAATTTTATAAGGTGGAGTATTTGTATGGGATTGGTAAAAAATTATCAGTTGTTATGTCATATGTAATAGGAAATTAGTCAAATGTACAAAAGAGTTACAAGAATTATCTGAGATTGTGTCATTAAAAAGTGATTTTTGGAATTATAAAACTTAATGAAAATGCAGTGATCTAAACTTTATTCTCCCCAGGCACAACCTTACAAATTGCATGGCGCTAGTTCAACCTTCCAAGTCACATTATAAAATTTAGTCTACAAAACTTGAGCATGTATACGTGTTACACATGTTTGTAATAATATTTGTATACTTGATTTGTTTTAGGTTTGCTTTTGTTCTAATTTAAGAATTCTACATGTATAAATATCGTTTGGTCTTCTTTCCCTAATTTTGTAGAATCTAACATTCCTCAATCTAATCCTACAGTCCAATTCAAAAGACCCACCGCTTAATCCAACAAAGGTTTCAGTCACTGACAACTTCCAATAGGGCATGTATATTTTCATCTAAATTGTATTAAAAAAAGTATATTAAATCTTAGAAGCATTGTTAATTATTCTTAATCAAATCAGTCTCCTAACCAGCATAAACATCCTATATGAATTGAGTTTGATTCTTCTTCAGTGAACCGTCCTATCATAAAGTGAAGGCTAAAACACTGCAAACACACAATACACATAATGCCTGACCACACATGAACAAACCACATACACCCATGACCACAATGAGAACCTTTAACATGTCTATAATTCTAAAACAACATTGTGAATGAACAAGTACAATATATGTCACTTGAATACACATAATGCCTGAACACACATGAACAAACCACATACACCCATGGCCACAACCCATGGCCACAATGAGAACCTTTAACAAGTCAATAATTCTAAAACAACATTGTGAATGAACAAGTACAATATATGTCACTTGAATGTGTCGTGAGTTTATGAGTGATGCCGTAGACTTAGCACTGATGTGCTAGAGCAACACCAGGCCAGCTGAAGTGCACACCTATAAAAGATGCATTAAGATGAAATTGATAGATTAGAGAGGCCTCATTGAATCCAAGAAGAACTTCGCTATATGAAAGCAAGCCAGCACTTTGAGCTCTAATTTTAATTATTGATGTGCTGATCAAAATTTTCAGATCAACATAAAAAAAGGAACATCAAAAGTAACATGGTAACATGACACGTCAAAACAAGATTTGTATCTTGCTATTCATGCAAAAATGGCAATAAAATGCCATGTAAACCACCATAGTACATCAAAAGAGTTCATTTTGGTTGTATAGCTTCCCAATCAAGGGGAAAAAAACCAGCTTGCTTAAAAAGTTGAAAATATAGGAAAAACAGCACACGAGCACAGATATTCGGAATGGTCTCCTTTATGTGATCATCTTGTAGGAGTTGTGGCTGCCATGCTAGCCTTGTTTACTATCCACAAAGATTATTAAACTGATATAGATAAAAGCAATCAAATCTGAAAGCAAAAGTCGTAAATTAACTCAATAATACAAACCCAGAGGGTGTATTTCTCAAGCCCATTCGAAAATCAAATTACGACTATCTTTTCAAGGACAAACATTCATTTTGATTATAAACATAAATACTCAATAATCAACCACATTATAAAGACGTGGTGTAAAGTCAAAATCTCCAATTAGATAGAAAGCTCTAAACATAAAGACAATTGTATAACCCAGAAATGCACCGAGGAGAATCACACAAACGTCTTTTGTTGACATCAGAGACCCACTGAATTAATAAAGGGTGTATCAAAAAGATAAAAGCAAACACATTTGCAAAGGTTGGTTCTTCAACTTCAAGGGAACAAAGTAGAGTTAAAAAAAAAAAGGAGATACACATTCAATTTTTGGAGTAAAACCACGTTTCCAAATCATTATGAACAAAACTAAAATTTGTCTAAACAATCACACGATGGAGAACAAAAATTGAGCCCGTAAATGAATAAATGAAACCCACATAAAACAAAAAAAAAAAAAAAAAAAACTTGGAAATCGAGCACGATTTGCTTCTCAGAAACATTTGGAAACATATGTAACTCTCAAAATTGAAGCTGTCAATGTGAATAATCAACCAAAAGAAATAAATAAAAACTTCAACCAAACAAACAGAATCAACAATATAATCGAAATCGACGCCCTGACCTTTCTGCTGTGTCAATCGATGCCTTCGAAGCTGAGGGAGGACGGTTCGAAGCCAGAGAGAGAGAGTGAGAGAGAGAGAGAGAGAGAGGAGCATACTGGGTTGGGCTTTGAAGTTTTGTTGGGCTGGGCTTTGCAGTTCGAGGTTTGACCAAACCAGGTTAGGTTAACCATGCTATTCTTTGTCACCAATCAACACCCACCCTTCTCACTGTATCCGCATTGCAGATCAAACCATGCTAAACGCGCCACATCACCCGCATTGCAAATCATACCATGCAAAAAGTGCCACGTCACGCACTTACTAGACCGACATTGTTTTACATTTCAAAATTCACCCTCTTGTAATTGTGTGAATGTAATGTATTGATGAAACCCACTTTACCTATATATATATATATATATATATATATATATAATGTTATGTTAATGTTTTTACATGTTTCCTTATTAGCAACGGTAGTGTAACAATGAACAATACAATTTTTTTTTAAAAAACTCTTAAATCAACTTTTTAAACTTGTCATTATATTTTTACAACTTGTAATACTTTGTCAAACATGATAAAGTAAAATAAAATAATATTTTATTTAAAAAAGAAAAATATTTAAAAAAAATTATTTTACTTCGAAACAAATGGAACCTAAGAGTATCCGCAGTGGGCTCGCGAAAGGCCCTCTCCGCGAGCCAAACAAACCAAACTCACTCCAACAGCCTCGCGGAATTGGGCGGGGCCCACAACAACTCGCGGCCCGGCTCGCCATATTCCAAGAGCCCGAGCCCGATCGCGGAATTTTTTTTTTTGTCTTTTTCCTTAGCAAAGCCTGAAGCGGTTTTTCGTTTTTTTTTTTACTTCAGGCTGCAACAGTGCCAACAGTGCCTGCACTGTTTGGCAGCCTAGTTTTTTTTAAAAAAAACCCAAAATATGTTATTTTGAGCTTATTTTTAAAAAAATAAAATAAAATAAAATTCAGTAAATAAAAAAATATATTGTTTAGACATTGTTTGTCCAAAAAATAAATTATTTGTGCCAAAAATAAATTAAAAAACCTTTTTTTTTTGTTTTTTCCCCTTAAAATTTGATTTTTTTTTTTAAAAAAAATTTGCTTTAAATTTTAAATTACTGCCATAAACAGTGCATTTGACCGTTAAGGCACTGTTTGGCTGACACAAACAGTGCCTTAAAGGTTATAATATTGTAAATTTTTTTAAAAAAATTCAATTTTGTAAAACTTTTTTTTTAAAAAAAATAATTAAAATTAAAATTTCATTTTCTTATTCCCATAGAATTTTGTAATTCTTATTTTCTTATTCTAATTCATTATTTTTAATCTTAAAATTTAATTTAATTTAATTTATTTAATTATTTTTTTTTTCGAAAAGCGAAAATTCGGAGAGTCTGATGAAGTGTATGTTTCTGGAGAGCGAAAACTACTGACGTGGCTCTTGAAATTGCTGACATGGCACTTGAAAAAACTAAAGTGAAATTTTTAGAGAGCCAAAATTCGGAAGCCAGTACAAATGGCCTAATAAATGTCACTAATTATTTTACGAGAATGTTGAAATTTCTGTACAGTGGGACCAACTGTTGGTGATAAATTTGGATGTAGCATGGGTGCACGTGCTTGTGTCTTAAATGATACCTTTTCAAGATCTCTAAATTTGTAAGAAATTACTTTTTAACCATTTGACTCATTAAAGGGGACACAAGAATTATAAACAAATAATATAAACGTTTTTTTTTACACCATTTATAAGACCAAACTACCCTTGTATACATAATTTTTTGCGCCAATAGAAATAGAAACTGCAGCTATGATTAATGAATAAAATAAGCTACTGTTGGCAATGACTAGATTTTTTTTTTTTTTTTTCCCTATGTACCTGGCAATGACTAGTTTGTCTAACAAAAAAATAGCCCTCCGAAAAATTGGTTATATATATTGCACTAACTGAAATAGTACAAATTTGCTTCCTGGAAATCAAATGATCTGTACTTAGTTTTTGTTCTTAGACCATAAAAAGCAACCGAATGAGTACAAACTAATTAGGGGTTGTTTTGAAAACCTACACCGAGTATGTTATTGTTGCAGATGGGTTTAGGGTTAAAAATTGGAGATGCAAATCGGCAAGAGATGATGAGAGGAGTGAAGTGAATAATATGAGTGTGTGTGTGTGTGTGTGTGGGTGGGTGGGGGTGGGTTGCAGATGGGTTTAGGGTTAAAAATTGGAGATGCAAATCGGCAAGAGATGATGAGAGGAGTGAAGTGAATAATATGAGTGCGTGTGCGTGTGCGTGTGTGTGTGTTGGGCAATTAAGACATTTGAAACCTTGAAAGGTGTCAATGTAAACTAATGCATTAACTGTCCACTGAGTGGCATTGACCCAAACATCAAGGGGTGTCAATGCAATTTACCAAAAAATATATATATTTCTATTACTATAACCAATATTAGTCCAGTAAAAAAAAAAAAAAAAAATTCATTACTAGTATTAACTCACCCCGTTGACCATTCCTGAATCCGCCAAAACAAACAATTCACCTAGTGGTATAACCTTTCCATCTTGAAAAAAGCAGAGAAGGAATTCGGGTTCTTGGGTGTTTTTGCTTTACCTAGGGCTAGCAAATTACGACATGATACGACAATACGACACAAATTAAAAAAGATTTGGGTTTGGCATAAATGGGTTTGGGTCATAAAAGGGTCGACACAATTAACCCGATTACTTAATTGTGTCGAGTTATGGTTAAAGAATTAAATCCGTGCAACCCGTTTATGACCCATTTAACTTAACATGTTATAATCGTGAATATGACATATATAATATGTTACATGTTTAAACTCAATTACTATAGATAGCTAAGTTATTTCAACATAAATCTTGTTTATGCCTTATGATTTTTCTTTTTATTTTGAATATTTGGGTTAATTATGACAATTTTTTAATTATTTAGTATTTGATTAAATATTATATGTCTCGTTTTAATAAACAGGTCATTAAACATATTAACATGTATTATCTGTTTAATAAATGGGTTAGGTTAGTGTTTAGGATTCATGAACGATTATTAAATGGGTTGGGTTTGAGTTAACCTATTTAGTATAATATCTTTACATCGACATGACCCACAAACACAAATTGCCACCCCTAACTTTGCGATTCGAAAAAAAAAAAAAAAAAACCTCTTTCACCCCTTCTCAACCCTTTTGCCATTGGTATGTGTTTTATTTTTTATGTTTTTGTTTTTGTCGGGTATTATAACAATGAACAGTGCAAAAATTGTGTTCGGTAAAAAAATGTTTTATTTTGTAGACTACGACCAAAAGTCAAAACACCAATTTAACGTTTTTACATGTTTCCTTAGTGTAGTAACTCATAACAATGAACAGTATATTTTTTTGAAAAACTCTTGTCACACCTTTTAAAAGTAGTTATTATATTTTTAAAACTTACAACCCTTTGTTTACCGAATATGTTTTTGCTTTCAAAATTTTTAATTACGAAACATGCTTTTAATTACTAATTAAAATATTTTATAATAAAATATTTATTTTACTTTAAATTAAAATAAAATTAAAAAAACAAAACTCTTACCAAACATGCCCTAAGTTTTCACTTTGGCAATGTTTTTGCCCTGATTAAAAAGCTAACATGTAATAGGCTTCGTGGACTAAATGGTGCTGCATTCCTAGCACTGGTTGTGGTGCTTGAACCAAACCAAGCACTAGTTCCATGTCAGAATAGTTTGATATATATAATAATATGCTTCGATCCCATGGATTAAAGTCCACAAGAAGACCATGTACCCTAAACTTTTATATACTTTTATATAGGCTACATATTAGAGTTGTTCAAAACGCATGTCACTTGGTCGAGAGTTCCAATAGGTCATTTTTAGAATTTTTTTCTTAAATGTCCAATGCATGTGGAATGGGAGGATTGCATATTCGCGATAGTAAATTATAGAATGTTTTAAGAGGTTCGACACTACCATTTTTTTAAAAATATATAAATAAAAAACTCACTACTTCACTAATTATGGAATGTTTTAAGTTACTAATGCGTGTCTCATTGCAAGTATTTTAAGTTGACGCATATTCTTTTAAATTTTTATGTGGACCACTTAAAACATATACAATGTAAGAATACATTGAACTATATCTATGATAGAATTTCAACAATATAAAGAGATGATTTTTATTTCTTGCACAAATTTTGTTGTTCAGTATGAAATATGAATGTATCCAACTCATTTGATTTGAAAAAACATAAAAATTCTCAATTTTAACTTTATTTTGAGAAACAAAAAAAGTTAAAAATAATAAAAAAAATATATATAAAATCTAGTTCTTCCTTTCATATAACCTTACTTGCTTCACTTCTTATGGTTGAGATAATTTCAAATACCTCTCATTATTCTTACCAAAAATTGGGATGCATTACCTTTTGATTTAAATTTTGTTTTAACAAAACTATATATATATTTTTGTTTTTTGTTTTTTTTTATGAATGAAACCAAGGGCAAGCCTGAAAGCCCAAACCAAAGGGATTGACTTAGTTGAAAAAAAATTGAACCCGAGTGTATCACCTAGCATTAAGTTTTAGTTTGAATTCCTCTTGGGTATAAATAATTTCTCAAAAATCACGCATTTAGATGTATAATTCGAATTTTATCCATTGAATCTTTGTTTTTTTGTATTAATTAATCAATTAAGGCCAAAACCAATGCTTTTGTTAAAGATAAAAGGGGCAAAACGCAATAAATCAAAAGGTCAAAGGGTAAAAAGGGTTAAGCAACATTATGCTGCTGACAGAAACCGTACACAAGTCCGAATATATACTAAACAAAATAAGTGAGTGGTTGTACTGTGTGAAAGGCACCACCTGCTGATGTAGGCTGGACCAATGGCATCACACCATCTCATCTAGGAGGAGGGATTTGCTCGAGGGTTAACATAATATCATTTGGTGTATTTAGCTGAATCTGTAGTGCCATCCACACTGGATTGTGGTATGCTCTAATTACTAAATGTCACTCATTATTTTATGGGGATGTTGAAAATTCTAAATCTCACTAATTATT